CAAAAAAAAAAGTCAGCTGATCAAATGCATTTGCCTCACTTTCTGAGCTTCACATCACTTGTGCCTTGTGCCGCAGAGTTTGCAACGTCATAAATAAATGGTGCCAATCTTCAGTCAGATGTGAATGTGTAATTTAACATTTTCAGTAAGGATAACGGACAAAAGGAGTGCAAATACAATTTATTGAAATGTGAACTAAAAGTTATCAAGCATGAACCATCACCATTTTTTTAAAATAAAAACGAAATAATATACATAAGTTACACTAAATGTTAATCTGTTAATTGACAGGCTAGGCCTGTGCAGGTGGTAACAGCTATGCCCAGCATGGGCTACATTATGTAGGTGCAGCTGGTGCAGGTCCTCCTCCATCAGGTTTGGTCCTCCTCCCTCAGGCCTGCAGGGTCTTTCCCTGCGAGGAGGGAAAGACCCTCAGCCCTCTCTGGCCAAAGCAACAGACAGGACGTTCATAAAGCTGAGGTTTCCCCCAAAGTCTCTAATCATCCATCCTGTGAATATGAGAGGGGAACAAATAGTGTAATAGATGCTTTGGACAATAAGAAATATAAAGTTAACTGTTGAGTTGCTCAGTTTTTTAGATTGACAGGGTTTAATAACACAAACAAAAGGAGAGAAATAAAGATTGGTCTATCAATAAATTGTGTTGATTTTGTCTTTTGAATTGTTTGTCTGAAGTCAAGTAGCTAGAACTGTTACTTATAGTTTGAATGATACAGTCTGGTTATAATGTGTGGAGGAGGCATCACAGGTAAGAGCACCATTTGTTGTGTTCCATCCACAACACATTGATGTGTGTGTATTTATTTATCTACTATTTCTTGAATCATTACTGTCAGTCCAAAACAAGAGATTTTGTTTTGGTAACATTTAAAAAAAAAAACATTATCTCTTTTCCACTACACTATCTTGAATACTTTAGTTTTTACGTCACTACATTTATCTAACAGCTTTAACATTGTAAAGGTGTCACTTCGGACTAATTATGACAGCATGTCCTACTCAGAGCCCTAGAGTCTCTAGGGCTCTGGTCCTACTATTTTGAGAGTTTGAACAAACCAGACCTTCATCTATTAATGTAGAAAATAGTCGGCACATTACACCATTATGAAAGTAATAATTAGTTAGCTCATTGTTCAAATGAGCTCCAACTACAACAGTTAAGTCAACTCGTGCATCGGTAATAACAATAAATCAAATGATATAATATAATAGTATAACTTGTGTCTACTTTAACAACACTTTCCTAATTATACTAGCATACTTTTACTAAAGTAACATTAACATGTTTAAATGCAGGGCTTTTGTAAGAGAGTATTTGTATAGTGTAGCATGGTCTACTTGACTTATCTAACCGAAGTGATCGTTACGTTACTTTGCAAACCGTCACCCCCAACCAACCCACACACACACACACACACACACACGTTGTGATTCACTTCAATTAATGGTAACGGAGCTTGCTAACAGCAAGGCACAAGGCTACTTCACTCATTTAGCTAGCTAATGTAAGATACAAATGCTGTCGAGCCCTCACTGCTTGTAAGATAAAGAGCACAAACTGACTACTTACCCGAGCGGCGAGCCCCGCTGTTCTCCGTCATTTTTCTCCCGGGTTGTTGTGATCACATGACTGACAAAGCCGTGAAGGCCAGAAGTCGGAGTTGCATTAGGGCTCGATTGCTTATCCTGTCTGCGTAGCCCGGATGATGCTGCATCGAATTTTATACATCGAATTTTTTTACATCGAATTTTTTGACGTCGAATTTTTGGGATCTGAATTTGAACATTCGAATTTTTTTCACTTGAATTTTTACATTTTTATTTCACATAGGTAAATTCGGAGCAAAAACATTTAGATACATGATTTTCAAAGTAATTATTTTCAATGTTATAAATTCGGTGTCTAATACAATTCAAATACTTCTGTCTCTTGTTTGCTTCCATACACGCCCACCGCCAAGCGGTAACGCACGCCGCTGTGTGTAGGGGCCGTTACTCTTACGAGTCCTAATTTTATAGAAGTAGAATAATAAATCAAGCTGTGCTCTGTCTGAAAATCATGACAGTATTACAATATATACACATCATTTGGCTGCCTGCAATTAACCATGAACCGTCGATCATTTCCCTTGGAGGTAAATCTGAGATTTTTTGTTGTTAAAATTATTATAGACAATAGCCAATTTTTATATATTGTATCAACTTCTAGTAATTGCTGTTTGATGAACCATGTGGTTTGTTATTAGAGTTAAAAGTGGGCACACCTCTAGTGTCGCAGTGATCTCTGTGCTGCTGAAGACACGTGAAGCTGAGAGCAGCATGTTTGAGGGCGTTCAGTGAATTACTTCCGCTCTGTTTGTAGGCTAATAGCTACTTTTATGCAAAGACTCATTGAAGTGGGCAACGTGTGTGTTAGTTTGTGCAGTTGTGTGTGTACTTATTAGATCATAAAGGCAGACAATAAAAGCACCAGAATGAAACAACTGTCACTTAAATGTATTTTGTGACGGAACATGAACAGGAAGTCCGGCTGTCATCCCCTCTCGTCTCAAAGCCCCTGAAGGGAGAGGCTTTACTCAGCACCCGGACTCTCAGGGTGATGTGAATAATTGAGGATGTGTTGGATACCCAGAGCTAGCAGCATGGTTTCACCTGACATGTGGTGGATAGGATTAGACCTCACTCAGAGGTTTATGGATGTAGAGTCACAGAGAGCAGATGCCTGGGGCAGGAGAGGAGCTGTCAGGGAGCTGTGGATGTGTGTGGCTATTATTAGCACTGTGTTTAAATATGCAAAGGGGCGTTTTGGTGTGAGCGTGGCCGTGTTGTTTCAAGAACCTGTGAGATGATAACATGCTATCTAGGAAGTCAGTATTATTTTTGTCAGATTCTTCATAAGTTAATCAGCATTGTTCACATTACAAAGTGATCTACCAGCAACATGTACAAGTTTCCCAAAACAGTGTTGTTGAGGAACGCTTGACCTTTCCTCTTTTACTTCCGTAGATCTCTGTGTTGGCATGTTTTGCAAAGAGTGATTTGAAATCAGTTTCTCATGTCTGTTTGTACACAGTCCTGGTTACTGTAAGAAACATAACATATTCAGACACAGATGAAAATGATGAATTATTTGAGACTATAATTATTGTTCTTTTGCTCCACCATTTACTGTACAATCACGACCCTGACAGAAAGTGTCTACTCTTTCTTATCATTTTTACTTTCTCATTGTCTGTCACACACATGCAGCTGCACACACTCCCCTGTTCCGAGTAACGGACACATCTAAGGGGATTACTAAATCAAGATACAAAAAAGAGTAACTGCATTCCCTTACAGTTACAGTAAGAAAAAACATAATCAGATTACTGTTAAAAAAATGTATACTGAGGATTGCTTGCAGGATAACAATGTATCAAGAAAGATGGATATATTAAAGGTAGACTTACTGCCTGGATTTTCTTTTTGGTTTTTCTTTTCGTTACTTTCATTCTTTATTTAAATTGATTTTTTTAAAACAGTAGGTGGACACCTGATTCATTAAAACGAAAATACAGTGTTCTTTTAATTCATATATTAAACTAAAACACTTTTTGTAAGTGCTACTGTATAGCCTACATTGAATAAGACACATTTATGAACCTGAATATCTTGGTTTCTTCTTTTCTATTGTCACATTGTTCTATTTTCTTACATAATACACTTAAAGGTACCCTATTATACTGTTTTTCATCAATACGATACGATATACTTTATTGTTCCCGTAAGGAAATGTGTTCTGGACTCCGTCCTGCAATTCCACATACATGTACATATACAAACATAGTAAACATTAAAATACACACACATATCATCACTCATACACCGTTTGCACAAACACAATACACAGACGCACCTACTGACGCAGGCGACCTATTGCACCCCTCATGGCCAACATGAGTATTACATCACATGTGAGTGTTGAGCAGCTTAATGGACAGAGGCAGGAACGAGTGCTTCTAGAGCTTCAGCCTGCTCTTGGGAACCCTGCATCTTCTACCAGAAGGAAGGAGCTGGAATTCTGGGTGGAGCATGTGGGGGGGATCAGACACGGTTTGTTGTGCCTGTCTAATAATGGACTGCTCATATATGTTGAGGAGAGATGGATGTTTTTTGACCCCCATAATTCTCATAGCAGTCTGTACCAGGCCAGCGATCTGTGATGATATTTGGTTACGAAGAACTCAAGGGTGCTCTAGGAGGAGATTCAGGTGATAAGGTGGGCGGGGGTTACCTTGGTTGGTGATTGGCTAATGGTTACACAAGCCAAAAAATCGTTATGACATCATAAAGTGGCCAAAATCTGGCAGGTTTTTATATGGATCAGGACAAAAAGTGAGAGAATATTTTTTCTTGAAACTTTCAGAATCTCTTTACACTTGTTTATGTAGAAAATACATGAAAAAGGGGATTTTGCATAATAGGTGACCTTTAAGTAAAAAACACCTGATATTTAATTTCTCCTAATTGCGTTTGATGTTGAGGTCATCCATCGGAAAGTAATCAGGTTACTTTTATATTTTGATACTCAAGTTAGATTACTGATTACAGGTAACCAGTAATTGTAACGGATTACATTTAAAAAAAAAAAAGTAATCCTCCCAACCCTGATCTCCACATTGTGATTTTATCCAGCTAGACACATGTTTCACAAACATCCCAATTGTTTAATGACCAATTACAGTAATTCGACACATATCTTAAATATAAATTCATTTCAAATAAATAAATTACAAATAAATTACACATTTATTTTCACCCTTATGCAAGTGGTCAGGATGAATGTGAGCTAAAAATAAATTACAATTACAGAAATGAAGAAATGTTTGCCAGTGCAGTATGTAAAATGACTGAATTAAATTTCCTGTAATAAACTCAATATCTATGACTGAATATATAATATAATATTTGATTTTCATATTTGATTTTGTCACCTGCAGAAGTACTAATGGACTCAACCACAGCAACAGCAGAACTGGGCTGGACCATCTACCCATCACAGGGGGTGAGTGGAACAAACCAATACACAAGGAACCGCCTGCAGTATGCAGCTGACCTTCTGATGTTCTGTTGCAATGTGACAGTCACCATAGTGATGCATTCACAGTAGCTTTTCAGGTTGAAATGCACCAATGAGAGGACTCCCTCAGTGTCAATAAAAAACACTTGTTTAAAGCTCTGGAATTAGGGAGGGCCTTGTTTCAGTGCTAACGGATGATGATGAAAGCCTCTATACATAAAGTTTTAACATGTAAAGTAACCAACAATTTCATAGCCTTTATGTGCCTTTTATCTATTCTTATGTGTGCCTTTTATCTATTATTGTAATATTATATTAGCACTGCAAAACCTTCTAAGGTGTGTTCAGACTAAATTTGAAATGAGTGATGATATGTGTGTATGACAAACCAGGTATTTATTTTGGGCCGTACCACTTCATAAAACCTATAAGTGTACGTTTTTGTAGTTCTTGTTCATTAATTATGTGTCACTGAATAAACTGTTGTTGCTTGTGTGTTTTGTAGTGGGAAGAAGTGAGTGGCTATGATGAAAACATGAACACTATTCGAACATACCAAGTGTGCAACGTCTTCAATAGCAGCCAGAACAACTGGGTCCGCACCAAGTACATCCGGCGCCGCGGGGCTCAGCGCATCCACGTCCAGATGAAGTTCTCAGTGCGAGACTGCAGTTCTATACCCAACGTCCCTGGCTCCTGCAAGGAGACCTTCAATCTGTACTACTATGAGTCTGACTCTGACACAGCCACTAAATTGTCCCCTCCCTGGATGGAGAACCCCTGGGTGAAGGTGGACACTATAGCAGCCGATGAGAGTTTCTCTCAGGTGGATCTTGGTGGACGCATCATGAAGATTAACAGTGAAGTCCGGAGTTTTGGACCTGTTTCGCGCAGCGGCTTCTACCTTGCTTTTCAGGATTACGGTGCATGCATGTCAATCATCGCTGTTCGAGTCTTCTACAGGAAATGTCCCCGTGTGACCCAGAATGGTGCCATCTTCCCAGAAACTCTTTCTGGAGCAGAGAGCACGTCTCTGGTGGCGGCCAGAGGGGTGTGTGTTCCCAACGGGGAGGAGGTGGATGTTCCCATCAAGCTGTACTGCAACGGGGAGGGGGAGTGGATGGTCCCCATCGGGCGCTGCATGTGCAAGGCCGGGTACGAGTCAGTGGAGAATGGAACGGTCTGCAGAGGTAAGACACCACAGGGTCTAGACTAGAAAGCATTTACATTGCATTTAGCTGACGCTTTTATCCAAAGCGACTTACAATAAGTACATTCGACCAGGAAGACACAAACTTGAAGAAAACAGAATCATATAAGTACATCAGGCTTCATAGAGCAAAACATTTCAAGTGCTACTCAACTGGCTTTAGATAAGCCAGTCCTTTATCAGTATATAAGTGCTTTGTTAATAAATCTATCGCTCGAAGTGGAGTCGAAAGAGATGAGTTTTCAGTCTGCGCCGGAAGGTGTGTAAGCTTTCTGCTGTCCTGATGTATCTCAGCAAATATTGCATGTGACAGTAAAACATGAGTGTATATGTGTGGTCCCAACCACATTTATAAATAGGGTTGTTTTTTTCTTTAGTACCAGCATTATGGGGAGATTAATCAAAGTTGCGAGTACAGGAGGCCTGTTCCTTCCTGCTCCCCAACAGCTGATTGGTGTTATAAGAGCAGTGTACCGAGTGACAAGACACTGCTACACAACACCAGTCATCTTCCTCAACCTAATCATCTGTGTCTTCTCTAATAAGGAATGAATGTAATTCATTGTTTCAACTTGTGTGTTCTTTATAGTGACTAACGTGTCCTCTATGCAAGCCTCCCGTGTCTGTCCTCAAATCCCCGGGACTGTGAGACAGACACGGGCTGAGCAGCGGGAAGTCAGTGTGGTGCTTGTGAAGCAGGCTGTTGAAATGATTATGTATTTACTTGCGAGCAATGACACGATGGGGCATCTGCTGCAGGGTGCAGTGTCACAGCTACAGTGGAGGAGGCCGGGGGAAATTGGAAAATAATTTACAGATTTCTTCTAATTGTATGATTGAATAACAGAAACCAATTGAAACTGTTTGCATTTAGAAAGTTTGATAAACCATATGACTTGAACCGTTAGTATAAATATAAATATAAGTAAAGGTTTTCATAAGTACAGTTTTTTGTGAAAGAAGCCTGTGAACTGTTTTAACTCTCTCATAAAATAATCGGAATCAATAAGCAGACCTGGAAATGAAACTGGAACCTTCAAATCCAAACAATACCCAACCCTATTTACTAAGGAAAAAAGGTGAGAAGTTAAAGCTAGATTGACGTGCATTTTGATGAAAAATAACTGTAGCTAGTTAAGTAAGTTAGAGTTATTTAGTTCAGCCTATATGTAAATATTAACATTGTTGACTGAAAGGATATGCAAATAAGTGAGTGGCGTAATGAAGTGATGTCAAGCAACCTTTTCAAGCAGACGTCAGCTACTTTCCAGTTAATAATCTTAATCAGGTCCTTCCCTGCATCTTGGCTGAGTGAAGACTAACATGTGATGCAATATTTAATACCTTTAAACAAACAGATGGAGGTCAGAGGATTCTTCCTGCATTGCCTCCTGGGATCAAGCATGTTGGCTGGCTCTTGTGATGGTGGCCCAGGATGGGGCCCACAGTAGAGCTCCATCTCCTTAACAAGTGTGTCTTTGGCAAGACTCTGAGGATGAGTACTGTTTGCCTGGTCACTTGAAATAAAACTAAAATGTGACTTCCATTTCATGATGCATTTGTAACAGACCAATAGATCACACATGAGTTATATCTCACACAGGCTCCGCCCTCTACTGGACTCTATGGGTACTACTCTCAACCATGCTATGCGAGCATTCACATACTGAGTTGCATAAACGTAGCCGGCCAATCTGGGCGAGCCTACCTGAATGCGTGCGCAGGCCCACAGTATATAAGGCGGCTACGCCTCCTGACTGTCATCCTTTTTCTCTTCAGCGAGCAGGACAAACAACTGACAGAAATAAACGTGAGAAGAGGAAAGTATAAGAAGGAAAAAGTTACCGTTAATCGTCATGGATTCACCACTCCTTGAGCCCCGGCCCTGTCCTTCATGTCCTGGCTTAATTGCGGGCGTCGATCCCCACCACCTCTGCTTCGAGTGCTTGGGGGACCAGGATATGGCCGAGGCGGTGTCATTCACGTTCGCCATTCACGTTCGCCATTCCATTGCGGATGGCTCCGTTTGCCGGGGAGGAGGATGGCGAGGACTTCTCGTTGTAGGGCACTTCCCGGTCCGGCGTCCATGGAAGTCCATTGCCCAGGTCTGTACTTCCCCCTGGTGATGACCATGGCGGCGGAGCATGGCAGCCCATCTGCAGGCAGCAGGCTGGGCAGAGAACCTCTGCCCCGCTGCCGCGTGACAGGGCGGCTGCAAATAAACACGGGTGTGTTGGGCGTCTCGCTGATTGCTCTTCCGCAAGATGCCCCCACCTCACCGGATCAGAGCGATTATTTGGCCGTAGCATCGGCCAAATTAATATCCTGGTCCACGGTGTGGCCACCGCTGCTTGCCGTGTGATGTCCCTGGCCACAGTGGGATCACGCCGCATGGCACTTTCCAAAAAATAAAAAAGCTGTGTACTGACAGAATGGATGGACACTGAAGCTGGGGTACTCGCTCCAGTTTTGTCCCTCCTCCATTCAGGGGCATAAGAGAGGCAAATCTATAATCCCAGGAGGAGATGAGAGGAGTTTCCTTTCAACATAGATTCAGGCCCTGTTGCAAAAACAGGCTGTGTCTGTTGTGCACTCTCAGGACAGAGAAAAGGGGCTTTACTCCATGTACTTCCTGTTTCCCAAGAAGACTTCCTGGATCTTCGCAGCCTGAATCAGCACATTGCCTGCGAAAAGTTCCATATGTAAACCAATTACTGGAACTAGGGCAGCCGGGCGATTGGTTCACAACCATCGACCTGAAGGACGCTTACTTTCATGTAAAAAAATTGCTCCAAAGCACAGAAAGTATTTGCGTTTTGCCTTCCAGGGGGTAGCCTACGAGTACAACAGACTACCGTTTGGTTACTCCCTATCCCCACGCACGTTCAGCAAATGTGTGGCCACAGCACTTCAGCCACTTCGCGACCATGGCATGAGGGTTTTCTAATATGACCTCATAGTCCAGGGGAAAGGGCAAACATCGCCGAATTGATCCAAGTGGATTGCGGTCAATTGGAAGAAGAGCAGTCCCATACCTCACCAGCAGGTGGTGTATCTCGATACAGCTCGATGCAGGCAGACTACGTGCCACCCTGTCAGAGAGCAGACAGGCATCCCTGCTTCAGGCAGTTTTCAGGCTGCGACAGAGGGCAACGGTGACAGCTTTGACCATTATGCAGACTCTTGGTCTCATGGCGGCTGCTCACCTCGTGGTACCGCTGGGGTTACTGCATATGCGTCGCCAACCTCCGATACTGGGGGTCCTCAAAGCATCTGCGGAGGGGAACTCCACTGGGGCGGGTGACCTCCTACATCACGGCATCCGTGACAGGATGGGGGGGGACCTGCCTAGAGAGAGCTAGAGTGGCTGGCCTCTGACAGAGAGTGGCTGGCCTCTGACAGAGACTCGGCACATCAACTTTCTAGGGCTGCGGGCAGTAGTGTTGGTCCTACAGCACTTCAAACCCTTACTACAGGGCAAACATGTGCTGGTGAGGAGCAACAACCGCACCACAGTTGCTTCACCCGGAGGTGGTGAAGCAGATCTGGGCCCAGTTCGGGAAAGCGGAGGTGGACTTGTTCGCCAACCGACGCAACAGCCACAGTACCCTATGGTGTTCCCTGGCTCTGCAAGACAATCCACACTTGGGGGTGGACGTGTTTGCACACGAGCCATGGCCAAGAAAGCTGCTCTACTCCTTTCCACCGCTGCGTCTCATTCTCCCCCTCCTGGAGAGGAACATTATATTGTATAGATAAAGCTTCTCAAATATATTCACCAAGACATGATGGTGTTTTTTTGATAAATTATACCATTTAAATTATCATAAAACATAACGTTTACTGTATTAAAGGTGTCGTATGGATGCTCATGAATATATGCTGAAAACCCATTATGAGTACAAATGCTCACCTCACTACAATTAACTCCAAGGCCAAGGCCAAGGGCAGGGCAAGGCAAGGCAAGGCAAGGCAAGGCAAGGCAAGGCAAGGCACTTTACAAAAAATGAAAGACATTAAGAAAATGGCATTTAAAATCAGTCATTAAAAAGAAAAGCTAATAAAATAAACATTAAAAGAAAAAAATACATGGATAAAAGTTACAGTGCAGTCTAAGATATGAATAGTTCAATTAAAAGCAGCGACAAAAAGAAAAGTCTTCAGCCTGGATTTAAAAGTAGTAAGAGTTGCAGCGGACCTGCAGGTTTCTATGAGTTTGTTCCAGATATTTGGAGCATAATAACTGAACGCTGCTTCTCCATGTTTAGTTCTGACTCTGGGGACAGAAAGCTGACCAGTCCCTGAAGACCTGAGAGATCTGGATGGTTCATAATTTAGCAGGAGGTCAGAAATGTATTTTGGGCCTAAACCATTCAGTGCTTTATAAACCAGCAGCAGTATTTTGAAATCTATTCTTTGACACACAGGAAGCCAGTGTAAAGATCTCAGAACTGGAGTGATGTGATCCACTTTCTCAGTGTTAGTGAGGACTCGAGCAGCAGCGTTCTGAATCAGCTGCAGCTTTCTAATAGATTTTTTTGTGAGACCTGTGAAGACACCATTGCAGTAGTCCAGTCTACTGAAGATAAAAGCATGGACAAGTTTTTCCAAATCCTGCTGTGACATTAGTCTTTTAATCCTAGATATATTCTTTAGGTGATAGTAGGCTGATTTAGTAACTGTTTTAATGTGACTGTTGAAACTCAGGTCAGAGTCCATGACTACACCTAGATTTCTGGCTTTATCTGTTGTTTTGAACATTGCAGACTGAAGCTCAGCGCTAACTTTTATACGTTCTACCTTGGCTCCAAAAACCATTACCTCAGTTTTATCTTTGTTTAATTGGAGAACGTTCTGACACATCCAGTCATTGATTTGTTCAATGCACTTACTCAGTGTTTGAATTGGAGCATAGTCTCCTGGTGAAATTGTTACGTACATTTGTGTGTCATCTGCATAGCTATGGTAACTTATTTTGTT